ATGTTAAACGCAGTCCCTGCGTAAGATGAATAATAGTATATAAAAATAGACTTACACAGGAAAGATCAGAAAATACCACAGAGCATACAGCCCTTTGATTATTTAAATAAAACATATTTAGTAAGAATTTTATAGATTTCAATAAATTTCTGTGATAAAATATGTTACTGAAAGATGTGCATAGTATATCATTAAGCACAAATGTATATATGTGAATGTGGTGGTGTGTAAGGGATGTCTGATCTATAATCAGACACACATATGCCCAACATTTGAGCCGCGTCACGACAAAACCAACATAATGGGTTTGCGACCAACATGGATCCAGACCAGCCTGCGCGTCCGCACAGTCTGATCAGGATCCATGCTGTTCGCTTTCCAACTCTTTTACAAGTAGAGAAACTGGTAGCGAACAGCCTGGATCCTGATCAGACTGCGCGGACGCTCAGGCTGGTCTGAATCCATGCTGGTCGCAAATCCATTATGTTGGTTTTGTCGTGACGCGGCTCATTTGTAATTGACTATGCACGTGTTACAAAAATAAACAACTTCCTTCTTTCCTTATTATACATGTATATTTTAATGCGTTACATACCTATTTGCCACTACTAGTGACTCTGAGACATTTATTTAGTTAAAAGGCCAATAATTTTTGCTTTTTAATGTCCAAGTCATTAGATAAGACCTTCGTAGTACCTAGGCAGGTGCTAGACAACTTGATGACAGCATAATATGTTTTGGTAAGGGAGTACAATAAGAAGACTATTGCATGAAACTGACACGTATATATTCCACGTATATTTGGGGGTAGGTGCAGCCCTTAAGCCATGGCCTGAAACCGCCACTGACTGTACGTGTAACTGCCCCATTGCATCACTTTTTACGAGCATATTTTTTTCAATTAGACTGTATACAAATACATATATTGCATAATCCTTTACTACTTGTATTTATATCCTTTCAACTGCAAGGTATGTATTAAACGCTTAGTACGTATTTATATATACATGTACGCGGTATCTATACGGAAAATTCCGATAATAGGCGAATCGTGGAAACAATTCCGTTGACATCGATAACAGAGTTCTCGCCCCTTAACAGTACATAGTTTTAATTGTTTATCATAATGTAAGATGATCAAACATTATCCACAAAGCCTCAGACACCGAGCTTTATTAAGCATAAACACTGCATAATGGATATAAGCGAAAGCTAATAGTAATCACGCCATGCGAGCTATAAGTCATATTTTAAAAAATCCATCAGGGAACATTAAATTACGGAAGCATGGAGAGGACATAGTCGATTTATTTTAATAATCTGTGGGAACAACTTATTTGTCGAAGTATTTTTTATTAATCTGTGGGAACAACATGTTTTGTGAGAAAAATCTTTTTTTATTCTGTGGGAACAACATATTTTGTGAGAAAAATCTTTTTTTATTCTGTGGGAACAACATATTTTGTGAGAAAAATCTTTTTTTATTCTGTGGGAACAACATATTTTGTGAGAAAAATCTTTTTTTATTCTGTGGGAACAACATATTTTGTGAGAAAAATCTTTTTTTATTCTGTGGGAACAACATATTTTGTGAGAAAAATCTTTTTTTATTCTGTGGGAACAACATATTTTGTGAGAAAAATCTTTTTTTAATCTGTGGGAACAACTTATTTTGTGAGATTTTTTTTTTTATTCTGTGGGAACAAACTATTTTCTGCTATATTTTTTTCAATATCTTGTTCCCTCAAGATAATAAGTTGTGCGAACAAATTAATTATGTTGTTCCCACAACATAATTCAACCAATCAAATTCTTGCATCTTGTTGTCAGAAAAATGCTCTGAAGCTGTGAGTTGTTTAATCCTCTAGAACGTAGGAATTCTAATAATTTTCTAAACATTTCTTCTGCCATTATTGCAATTGTGTGCAAATGGCGACTTTTTAAAAAGGGACTTAACTTTGCAGTCACTCTTTGTGGCAATCGCTATTTTGATTGGTTGAATTATGTTGTGGGAACAACATAATTAATTTGTTCGCACAACTTATTATCTTGAGGGAACAAGATATTGAAAAAATATCGCAGAAAATAGTTTGTTCCCACAGAGTAAAAAAAAGATTTTTCTCACAAAATAAGTTGTTCCCACAGAATAAAATTTTTTTTTTACTCAAATTAAGTTGTTCCCACAGAATAAAAAAAGATTTTTCTCACAAAATATGTTGTTCCCACAGAATAAAAAAAGATTTTTCTCACAAAATATGTTGTTCCCACAGAATAAAATTTTTTTTTTTACTCAAATTAAGTTGTTCCCACAGAATAAAAAAAGATTTTTCTCACAAAATATGTTGTTCCCACAGAATAAAAAAAGATTTTTCTCACAAAATATGTTGTTCCCACAGAATAAAAAATTTTTTTTACTCAAATTAAGTTGTTCCCACAGAATAAAAAAAGATTTTTCTCACAAAATATGTTGTTCCCACAGAATAAAAAAAGATTTTTCTCACAAAACATGTTGTTCCCACAGATTAATAAAAAATACTTCGACAAATAAGTTGTTCCCACAGATTATTAAAATAAATCGACTATGCCCTCTCCATGCTTCCGTATTAAATAGTTAATTTTAAATGACTTATACATAAAAGTAATACAAAAAAACTTAACCGTAAATGGTTTGTATAGAGCATGAAGAAAGGTAGCTTATGCATAAAGGTATATGACGTTAACATTTTAGTATTCCAAATGGCTTGTTCCAATTTATTAGTTATCACTCAATGAAAGAATTGGTGACTACGAAATGTTTGAATGAAATAACGAAAAATGGAAACCAGCATAATGCAAAGTTTAAATATCATAAAGCAAGATGGAATCAAGCATAATGCAAGTTCTAATGTCATGTAGCAAGATAGAATTAAGCATAATGCAAGTTCCAATGTCATCAAGCAAGATGGAATCAAGCATAATGCAAGTTCCAATTTGTCATCAAGCAAGATGGAATTAAGCATAATGCAAGTTCCAATGTCATCAAGCAAGATAGAATAAATGCATTAATTCTGTTCCATAGTGTTATGTAGTACACAGCTAGCTTTCTGAAATTTTGTTTATGTTCATATTATTGTAAGCAATGATTTTGGGTCGATAAGATGACCCTTACAACAATCAGTTGTGAAGAAAAGTACTAGATTTAGTTTGTTTGTACCATGTATGCTAAGCTCATAAAATTTTTATAAAGGTACAGTGTATAAGGATATCATCGAGTGTTCTCTCTGAGCTGGGTTTCATCCCTGGAAGAATGGTAGTTAAGAAGGATATTAGTTAAGAACTGGTGCGAGTATCCGGTATTGAGAACGATTGTTAAGAAACTACCCAATTGTTAAGAAACTACCCGTCTACAAAGCTGACATTATGTTGAAAAGGGCTTATAACCCTCCGTGTGTGCGTTATATATAAACATATACAAAAATTTACCTCATAATTAAGTATCAATGTTCTCTTTTTCAAAACCTTAGATTTTCTACATCCCGTGACGTTTTCCTATAGTGAAGTTATTATGTCCTCAATAGCTTGCCAGTTCACTTATCACTTAACAACGTCCACAGAAGAATGTGTTTTGACCAGTGTCCTTAATTGGATGCATTTGTCAGAATGTCCCCATTAGGTTAGACACACCTGAGTGGGGGTGGGTCCTCAATAGACTGTCTTTTTTCCAGTCTATTTGTAATGACAGTATCGTTGATTAAAAGTTATAACTATAGTGTAAAAAATATATTTGTGATCTTAGGGCAGTTATTTTGAAAGAAAACCATTCAGAAAGGAGTGTCCTCAATTGACTGCAAAAAGTTATGTGTCCTCATTGGAGGGTCCTTACAAGTATTGGTGAGTTTGTGCGTGTGTGTGTTTTCAAAATAAAATTCAATCACTGTTTGCAGCAGGTAAATAACTTTATACACGTCAAACAGAAAAAAAAGTTAAAAACAGATATCATGTACCTAAAGTTTTAATATGATTTTAAACAGGACCCATATAAAACACGTATTTAGATATGCAGGTTAGATATTAAAAGGTTTGTGACACTTGGTAGGGACTTTGCCCATACCGGAAATGATTTCCGTTGATAATGAAGTCATTTGGTTAAGGTAAAAACGCAAATTTGTGCATAATCCTTGTGTTTGTAACTAATGTAAAGTTATTAGAAAATGTATTCTAGGAAGGACATTTTTTATTAATATAATGTAACCTCTATCTTATGTGTGGTCATTTGGTCATAGAAAAAGTGAATTTCTGAGACGTGATGAATCCAAGACTAATCAATTACTTATGATAAATACCATAGTTTTATAACACATGATCTGGAGATTGCCAATGGCCATAAGATGACCTTTTTTATTGAGAGATCAACATGTTAAGGCCAAAGTTACCTTTAATGTGAAAAACATGTTGAATTAATAATTGTAGTTTGTTCAGTAAAATATTAGTTATATACTCATTATATGTATACTGAAAAACTTATCAACATAACACTCTGTCTTACGAGATATTATATTGTAACTGTTACTGTCAAATGACGTATGGTTATTACTAGTGTAATGATAACGAATAATTTAATTAGAGATTTCATTTTGATTAGGATACAGTGATATAGGGTAGCACACGACAAGTTCAATTTCGCAATTTCACTGTATTACTTGGATGTCAGTGATAAACATATCGTATTTCAGTGGTAGTGCATAATAAGTTTAATAAGTTAAAATAGATTTAAATTTCTTAAGTTGTTTAATCGTCAAAATTATCTGCCATAAAGTGATCAATGAACTTTTGTTAATGCATTAACATCTGGAAGACGCATTTAAAGACCAAACCTGCAGGGCAGGAGAATGAATAAGTCGTTGAAGTGTTGGAAGCCTTTGCTTGTACCTTGCTTTTTTTCATGCTAGTACAGTTATGTTCTGATATTAAATAATTGAAGCCGTCATTACACTAAGCTGTTTTGCATTGCGTCCTGAGTCATGCGTATTAAAAAAGTGCAACACCGGCACGTTGCCACGAGACTGTATCAGTTAATGCATGTTCTCTCCTTCGTGAATATAAACCTGCAAGCGCAGTTTTTATGCAATATTAATGTCTTTTTTTCAGTTGAGAGGAGAAGAAGAAACGTCATCAATACCAGGATAATAGAGCTACGAAACCTTCTTCCTGACCACATTGATCGGTTTGTTAAATCGTAAAATATTATAAGAAACTGGTTTCGGATATATCTGGATGTAGTACAATTGGTTTGAAATAGAAAGAACTTGTGTAAAAAACATGAACACAACAATTCAATGTTTCAATTAACCCATTACTTCATATACACGCCTTTTTACGCCTTTTTCACCCCCCCCCTTTTTGTTGTCTCAAATGATGAAAAAATGCCTTATTTAGGCCACAAACACTTGTTTTTGTTTGAGAATTGTTGTTAATAAAAGTGACCTCTTTTTCGGCGCGGCCCCCAACCAAAAGATACATCAAAGGGTTGCCAGAAGGGGGATGTGCCTCCTTCTGTTTGGGGGGGGGGTTGAAGGGGGGCGGAGTCCCCCTCATCGCCAAGAAAATTTTGGACTTGTGAGAGGCTGTAAATGACCCCAGATTGATCATAAGGTAACGTGTAACCAACGCTGAAAAGCATTTGACTCTATCTCAATCCATTGAGAAGTTGCAGCACTTTGAAATCAATTTTGATGGAAAAAATCAACGCAAAATAGTGATTTTTGGCAATTTTGAGATGTCCCCACGTTGCCATGGTAACAGAAAATTTAAGCCTGAGCATGATGTTGCAAGGGCAATGGTCCAGTCAACATTTGTGCCAAGTTTGATTAGTGTTGAAGCAGTTTTTATAGTATTATAGCAATTTGAACTTGTAACGGGATACTTTTCAATGAAAACAGCCATTTTTTACAAAATGCTCATGAAGTAATCGGTTAATGAAAAAATTAAAAAATCTACAAAACAACAATTTTTCTTCAAATTTATATGACAGACCATGTTTGAACATGAAAAAACACGATTTAGGGTAATTTCAAGTATTTTCATCATTTTCTGTTAACCCATTACTTTATATACACGCCTTTTAACGCCTTTTTCACCCCCCCCCCCTTTTTGTTGTCTCAAATGATGAAAAAATGCCTTATTTAGGCCACAAACACTTGTTTTTGTTTAAGAATTGTTGTTAAAAAAGTGACCTCTTTTTCGGCGCGGCCCCCAACCAAAAGATACATCAGGGGGTTGCCAGAAGGGGGATGTGCCCCCTTCTGTTTCGGGAGGGGGGTTTGAAGGGGGGGCGGAGTGCCCCTCATCGCCAAGAAAATTTTGGACTTGTAAGAGGCTGTAAATGACCCCAGATTGATCATAAGGTAACGTGTAACCAACGCTGAAAAGCATTTGACTCTATCTCAATCCATTGAGATGTTGCAGCACTTTGAAATCAATTTTGATGGAAAAAATCAACGCAAAATAGTGATGTCCCCTCGTTGCCATGGTAACAGAAAAATTTAAGCCTGAGCATGTTGTTGCAAGGGCAATGGTCCAGTCAACATTTGTGCCAAGTTTGATTAGTGTTGAAGCAGTTTTTATAGTATTATAGCAATTTGAACTTGTAACGGGATACTTTTCAATGAAAATAGCCATTTTTTACAAAATGCTCATGAAGTAATGGGTTAAACAATGTTTACACACAATTTAGCATATTGATTACAAAGAATGCTTATCTAACCATAAAACTTTCATGATGCATCTATCCTTGTTTTGCAACTAATTGCGGCATCCTACAATCTAGCTTGGATGTCATCACAAATACAACTATGAACAATAAGTCATTTTGTGTTTGTTTCAGTGCATCATGTAAAAAGAAAGGTTCCATTTTGAAGGAGTCAATTGAGTACATTAAACAACTGAGAGAAGACCAGAAGCGTATTAAATGTTTACAAGATAGGATATATGAAACTGAGATCACAATCTTTCAATTGGTGGATAAATTTGAGGTAATGCTTTTATGTTTTTAAGTCAATAAATCGAAAATCATCGAGTTTAATGTATGTATCTGTGTGAGAAAAATTATGTTCGGGGTTCGAATCAATGACCTGTGGCTCTACCGTCTGAGCTTTTTGACCGACACACATTCTCATCCCTAATGAATCAACAGTTTAAAACCGTGACAAACTCCCCCGCTGGAATTAAATTCCTCTTCGAAATTCTAATGGAGCAACGGATTGAAATTGACTTTGAACTTTTTTCAGTCAGAGCGCCAAATGTCATAGGGTGAGAAAAATATATTTAAAACTATGTATTTAAAGATTAAATGGAGACTGATAACATCATATTGACCGAATTAAACGAATTAACAACCTTGTATATTTGAAGAAATGTACGTATTTTAGAGCATTTTCATTTACTTACGTGTGTGCATTCGCTGTTCTTTTTATATAACATTACAAAACTAATGTACAATTTGATGCTAGTACTATACAAATATTTTTTCTTGCGTTGCAGCAACTGGAGTCACAAATATCGAACAATATTACAAAAAATGAAGACAACGAAGCGATAATATCGGGGACATCAGAACAGTCCGATGTCGTTACAGTCTATGCCGAAGATGACAACGTGTGTGAACAGGAATCACAATCATCGCGATCTGAAATAGCGCGACCCGAACAAGTTGGGCATGATTTGAATCAAATATGGGTTGACATATCAACAGCACTGACATCTGTTTCAACAATGTCTTACCCAATTTGTTCAGATATCGAAAATGGAGCAATGATTTATTGCCAAATGGCTTAGCAATGATTCAGTCCGAAACAACAAGCTCATACAACACTTTAAGTGGAAAAATAAAACTGAATTCAATGATAAACAATCTGCTAAATGACTTCACGTGTACCTAATACCAACTTGAACAGAATGGTTAAATAAACATGCTCCATAGGGTGCAATATTGTTATCATAAAAGTGTTATTATATTGAATGAAATAATACTAAAAACTGCATATTTTGAAAGGGGACAATTTTTTCTGTTTATTTATTGTTGTTTTTGTGTGTGTTTATTTGTATACTGACCTGTGCTTAAATACAGATATATATGTTTTGCTAAATGCTATACAGGCAGTTAAAATATTGTTTTGAAACTGAACTTGGATAATTTCTCATTCTCCTAATTTCCTAAATACTATAACACAATACTGTATAATACAATAATAATAATACAAAATAAAATCATCCAAAGAAAAGGTTCAGAACAGAAAAATCGTCTTATATATGTTATTCTTTCTTTTGTTTATTTTTTTTAATTTGTCTTGCCTTTTTATTGAGGGAGTCGGAAACATATTAAATATTTGAGAAAAATGACAGATTATGAATATTTGAAATGGATAATCATATAAAACATGAAAGTAGCCTCTAAATATCATCTCTCGGTCGGTAAAAGCTCTCGACCAAAGTGATAACTTCTATAGTTAACACGTCCAAACATTATTTTTTTGTAATAATGGAATGATTAATATAGCGTCATGCACATTATTGTGTTATGTATTGGTGATGTTCTAAAGCTACAGACTCGTTTTGACCATATCAACAGCAGGCGAATGTTCAATTTAAGACATGGACAACCTTATCACATTTGTTAATTAGAGTACCTGGAAAGTTATATCTTTACTACTGTAGATATTTCAAGAAAATGCCAACTTAAATTAACTTTGTTTTGCCTTCTAAACACAATGTTGACCTATTTCTTGATTAATTATATTGTACGTCAACTAAATTTTTACTCGAAGAAGTTTTATCAAGTTGAACATCACGAAATAAATTCCTCTATATGCTATTGATTATCTCATAACAAGTATAATCAAATTTTGGTTGGCATATGTATTTATGCTTGTGAGTTGTTAAGCTGTTGTCACTAAAATGCCAAATGAATACTCAAGTGACTGTAATATTTCACGAAAATAAATACAAAACTCGTTTGCTTAGCTTTGTTTCCAGATTTTATGTAATAGTAGAAATCTTAACGTTAACTAAATTTAGCTTCTAGTTTCAATTTAAATGTTTTTAAATTTCTGTATGTTATTCATACCTACAGTCGTATACTTGGATTAGTTTAGTGTTATTGAAGAAAACAACCTATCAGTAATTGCAATTTATCTGAAATTATTGTTCACAAGCATATTTAATATGGTACAAGAAAAAAATGAAAGCAAAACTAGGTGCATCAAAATGAAAAAAATAAATAGATAGACAAACACAAAATTTATATAAACTGTGTTTCACTTATAATTCATAGAAAAATTAGTTTTTGAACGATATGCTAGTGACGTAAAAATTCCAAAATGAGAACTTGATTATGATTTAATGGCGATCTGAATACCGGAATAACTTTGGTGTTAAACAGACCCTTATCAAATGCGTGTATAATGACATATTGTTAAGACATCTTTTCATGAATTAACGTTATTAACTAACTGACTTTGCATAATAATTTTATATCTTATATTAAATTTGAATATTGTACATAACTCAAATAATATACTAAAAAAGTGGGTTCACAATTTAAGCTGGTTGATTACACCTGTGAATAACGATACATTAATCACGTACCAGCGTGCAAAGCATGTATAACCAGTAAAACTATTGCCAAGTAATGCAATGTCGCGCTTATTACATTAAAAGAATATTACATATAGTTTCCTTCTTTTTTTATCAAAGTACAAATTAACACGTAACAGTAAAATAACGAAAAATAAGTTAAAGCTGTAAGAGCATACGTTTACAATTCAAACAAAAGACATACAAGTGCATTTTGTCGTGCATTTTGCCGTGTTGGGCTTTATTTGGGGATTCTGTATTTATCTATTTTATGATCACATCCGTGTTATTTGTGCCGTATGGCGGCTGTAAAAGTCTCCCCGTACATTTAATCAATGATGTTATATTTTCGATCCTTGAATATCGTTCAGCACGACATAATTGTTGTGCTTGTGGTATTTTTAGTTTCAACTTTTCGGCATTTTCTAGTTGGGTGGTTCCAATATTCCTACTTGAATAATTTTGAATCACCCTTAGGATATTTTGCCTGCTTTTTAAATTTGTCTTTTGACGTCTTATCTGTGATACGCAGGCTTCATAATCTCTGATCCCCTTTCGAAATTCCATTTTATTACATGCTTTTCGGTGGTTTATAGAAATATATCAGTGATATAAAACTGGTTATTTCACTGTTTGAAACATTGAAATTACCACTTTGATAATTTCACTGTTTTGCATTTAAGCCCCTTACGTTGTTTCAGTGAAGTACCAGCGTGCACAGAACTGGGTACCAACTTAATGTCGTGACGTCGTAAATGACGTCGCGTTATATTATTATTTGGCGCGCTTTTCATTCAGTATTAGGTTTAATGTCTTTTTAAAACGTTTCTTTGCATATAATAAAAAGAAAATTTGTTTAGTTTAGTGTAAGTTCGAAATATATTTCACCTTGTGAACACCAAAAGTTCATATTTCACTCGTGGCTGCGCCACACGTGAAATATACCTTTTGGTGCTCACTCGGTGAAATATTTTCCGATCTTACACTGAACTAAACAAATATCCTCTATTTATTTAGTTCCTCCCATTGTTTTCTCGTTTAAGGCAAACGCTTTTTATTACTTGGGGACCATACGCCGCTTTTCATGGAATGGCATGGAAGTGTCATATTGAAGGTTCCATGACAACCGCCGTATGAACACACCTGCGGATATTTCTAAATTCAAAATTTTACTATTTCACGTTTAAATGTTGAATTCTGCTTAAGCCGGTGCTAGGGGGCGTGGACGGTAACTTGCAATTTCCAGTACCGTCCATGAACAGGCTCAATCAAACCGAGCCTGCAACATTTTCAATTTTGCCGTGTTGGGCTTTCTTTTGATATTCTGTATTTATCTATTTTTTTACTTGCAACTTTCTGTGTTGTGTGTGTAAACTTGTATAGGCTCTGTATAAGTTTAAAAGTCATGGAAAGATAATGAAGATAAACGTTCAAGACTTTATGTAAATTCAGTTAAAGGGGCAATTATAAAAGAAATAGTAACTTAATGTAAATTTATATTCAAATTTACAGTAACACCAATTGAGTTTATAAAAATGCCCTGAACAAAATATATCAAAATGTTAAGGAATTAATAAAAAAATGTAAATTTTTGAAAGAAGTTAAAAATGAAAAAGACATCGTTTAGAACTATGTGAAATCAATCGTTAGTGTTATATGGAAATTTATGTGAACCGGTCTTTTGAGTTTAAAATATACAATATAATTAAAATAGATATCTTAAAAAAACAAAACTAAATAACCATTTGACATTTGCCATTTATAACGTTTTCAAGATTTCATATTTTTGGAAATTAAATATATCAAAACCTTTTCTGTTTCAACGACTTTCTCATAGCAAATTCTATAAACGGAGGTAAAAGGTTATATCTTTAACTTATTTGCATATATCGTATACAAATAAAGCAGTTGTTAACCTTCAAGGACTTATTTTGTCATGCATATTATAATTAAGTTGATTTGTAAAAAGAAAAAAAATCTTAAAAAGAAAATGTTCAAAATGTCGTATTGAGACTGCATTAATTATATCATGGGATCATTTATATAACAACGGCTATATTGTTCTGCAAACAAAATACAAACTCATTCCTATAATGTCGTTGTAATTAAATGACGTTATCATATGATATAATGTCAGCATTTGAATCACGTGGTTGTTAATTTAAAGATATATTTGATTTGCAATATTTTTTCTGTTGCTGCAAGTATCATATAAATCAAAGGTATAAAGCAATATACATTTTTTCAAATTAAGAGGTTTCATATAATAACAATCAACAAAGATTCTGCATAATACGACAGTATAACAAACATGAATGAACTTATTACACCATTATATCATTTTATTTTAGATTTAAACATTTCCATAATTAACAATACTAAAGTTTCTAAAATCTACTATAAAAGAGATGATTTTGATTTTAATATTGTTAACTATCCAACTTTAGATGGAGATGTATCCATGGTACATCATATGGGGTGTATATTATTCAATTTAATAGATTTGATAGGGCGTGCAGTCGTGTTGATGATTTTAACGAACGCAATTTATTTATTATGAATATTTTACTAAGTTTTACCATCGTAATTCAGATTTAGTTTTAAAAATTAATTTTAATTTGAAAACTATTTTACGACAAGTTATTAGCAAACCTGATTTATATGGGGATGTTTACAAACTTCGTACGATCTAGCTTCGTCTGGTCATTGTAGGTGTGATTTTCTTGTTGTTCTGCCTTCCTTTAAGGCATCGAGTACTTTTGAAATGGTCATTAGGCTGTACCTTTTTCTACATATTTACATAATTTTGTATGTGTTTTATTTATTTCGTCTAATGTAACCATGACCATTGTTAGAATTTCACTTGGCGGGGATTAATTTTTTCACACTTTCATGTCATTCAGAAACATATTGGGGCTAAGAGTGAGGTTTGGCGCGGCTAAAACCGGTTTAAAGTCCCCAGCGGTTTAACTATCCCTGACCGTTACAAGGCGGTACCCTTTTGTGTTCCTTCACGTGTTTTTCATGTCTGTGTTGTTATTTGTTTCGGAATGTTTACATTTTTTGTGATGTCTGCCCTGTTGGATTGACGTTTATGTTAGGTATTTTCTCACGCCCCCTCCCGTGTTTTACCCCCCCCCCCCCCTTTCACCCTTACAGCTCTTATCCCTTTAATTCCCATATGGGCCCGCTTTGGTGTATATTATTCACACATAACACGTCTCCTTTCACCGCCCTTATATCCACTCCAGGTTTTGGTGTGGTACCTTCTGGGTGCCCTACTTTGGTGTGTCGGGGGCTGCGTCCTGTGAACGTTGCCTTTGACTTGTT